AAAAGGGGGGGGGAGGAGAAAAAACGAAAAAAGGGGAAAAGGGGGGGAAGGGGAAAAAAAGGGGGAAGGGAAAAAGGAGAAAGAAAAGGGGAAAGAGAGGGGGAAAAAGAGGGGGGAAAAGGGAAAAAAAAAGGGAAAAGAAAAAAAAAGGGGAAAAAAGGGTTTAAAAGTGGGTGTGGAAAAAAAGGAAAAAAAGGGAAAAGGAAATAGAGAAAGGAGAGGGGAAAAATGGGGTGAAAAGGGGGGAAAGAAAGAGAAAAAAGGTGGGGAAAAAAAAAAAGGGGTGAAGAAGGAAAAGCAGGAGATAAGAAAGCCAGAGAAAGGATGAGGGTGTGAATAAGTGGGGTGAAGAAGAAAAAGTAGGAGATAAAGAAAGCTAGAGAAAGGATGAGGAGGTGAATAAGTGGGTGTGAAGAAGGAAAAGTAGGAGATAAGAAAGCTAGAGAAAGAATGAGGGCGTGAATAAGTGGGTGAAGAAGAAGATAAAAAGCTAGAGAAAGAGGAGATAAGTGGGTGGGAAAGCAGAGAAAAGAGAATGGGATGAGGGGGAATAAGTGGGTGTGAAGGAAAAGTAGGAGATAAGAAAGCTAGAGAAATGATGAGGGGGTGAAGTGGGGTGAAGAAGGAAAAGTAGGAATAAGAAAGCTAGAGAAAGGATGAGGGGTGAATAAGGGTGTGAAGAAGGAAAAGTAGGAGATAAGAAAGCTAGAGAAAGGATGAGGGGGTGAATGGTGGGTGGAAGAAGGAAAGTAGGAGATAAGAAAGCCTGAGAAGGAAGGGGATGAGGGGTGAATAAGTGGGTGTGAAGAAGGAAAGCTAGAGAAAGGATGATGGGGGAAAAGCTAGAGAAAGGATGATGGGGAATAAGTGGGGTGAAGAAGGAAAAGTAGGGAGATAAGAAAGCTAGAGAAAGGATGGTGGAAATAAGTGGGTGTGAAGAAGAAAAGTAGGAGATAAGAAAGCTAGAGAAAAGGATGAGGGGGGTGAATAAGTGGGTGTGAAGAAGAAAAGTAGGAGATAAGAAAGCTAGAGAAAGGAAAGAGGGGTGAATAAGTGGGTGTGAAGAAGGAAAAAGTAGGGAGATAAGAAAGCTAGAGAAATGATGAGGGGGTGAATAAGTGGGTGTGAAGAAGGAAAAGTAGGGAGATAAGAAAGCTAGAGAAAGGATGAGGGGGAATAAGTGGGTGTGAAGAAGGAAAAAGTAGGACATAAGAAAGCTAGAGAAAGGATGAGGGGGGAATAAGGGGTGTGAAGAAGGAAAGAGGAGATAAGAAAGCTAGAGAAAGGATGAGGGGGGGAATAAGGGGTGTGAAGAAGGAAAGTAGGAGATAAGAAAGCTAGAGAAAGGATGGGGGGGGGAACAAGGGTGTGAAGAAGGAAAAGTAGGAGATAAGAAAGCTAGAGAAAGGATGGGGGGTGAAAAGTGGGTGAAGAAGGAAAAGTAGGAGATAAGAAAGCTAGAGAAAGGATGAGGGGGAAGAAGAAAAGGGAGATAAGAAAGAAGAGAAAGGATGAGGGGAGAAGAAGAAAGCTAGAGAAATAGAGAAAGGATGGGGGGGAATAAGGGTGTGAAGAAGGAAAAGTAGGAGATAAGAAAGCTAGAGAAATGATGAGGGGGTGAACAAGTGGGTGTGAAGAAGGAAAAGTAGGAGATAAGAAAGCTAGAGAAAGGATGAGGGGGTGAATAAGGGGTGTGGAAGAAGGAAAGTAGAGATAAGAAAGCTAGAAGGAAAAGGATGATGAACAGAGAAATGGTGGAGGAAGAAGGAAAAGAAGGATAAGAAAGCTAGAGAAATGATGTGGGGGGTGAATAAGGGGTGTGAAGAAGGCTAGGAGATAGGAAAGCTAGAGAAAGGGGGTGTGAATAACAAGGGGTGAAGAAGGAAAAGCAAGAGATAAGAAAGCTAGAGAAAGGATGAGGGGGAATAAGGGTGTGAAGAAGGAAAAGTAGGAGATAAGAAAGCTAGAGAAAGGATGGGGGGGAATAAGGGTGTGAGAAGGAAAAGTAGGGAGATAAGAAAGCTAGAGAAAGGATGAGGTGGTGAACAAGTGGGTGTGAAGAAGGAAAGCAGAAGATAGGGAAAGCTAGAGAAAGGATGATGAATAAGTGGTGTGAAGAAGGAAAGTAGGAGAGATAAGAAAGCAGAGAAAGGAAGAAGGAAAAGTAGGAGGAAATAAGTGGGTGTGAAGAAGAAAAGCAAAGGAGATAAGAAAAGCTAGAGAAAGGATGAGGGGGGTGAAAGGTGTGAAGAAGGAAAAAGTAGGAGATAAGAAAGCAGAGAAAAATGATGGGGGGTGAATAAGGGTGTGAAGAAGGAAAAGTAGGAGAGATAAGAAAGCTAGAGAAAGGATGAGGGGTGGAATAAGGGTGGATGAAGGAAAAGAGAGATAAGAAAGCTAGAGAAAGGATGAGGGGGGAATAAGGGTGGGAAGAAGGAAAGTAGGAGATAAGAAAGCTAGAGAAAGGATGAGGGGTGAATAAGTTGGTGTGAAGAAGGAAAAAGGAGATAAGAAAGCTAGAGAAAGGATGAGGGGGGGAAGGTGGGTGTGAAGGAAAAAAGTAGGAGATAAGAAAGTTAGAGAAGGGATGAGTGGGTGAATAAGTGGGTGAAGAAGGAAAGAGAAAGATAGGAAATAGAGAAATGATGATGGGGAATAAGTGGGTGTGAAGAAGGAAAAGTAGGAGATAAGAAAGCTTAGAGAAAGGATGAGGGGGGAAAATAAGTGGGTGTGGAGAAGGAAAAGTAGGAGATAAGAAAGCTAGAGAAATGATGAGGTGAACAAAGGGAAGAAGGAAAAGTAGGAGATAAGAAAGCTAGAGAAAGGATGAGGGGGTGAATAAGTAAAGAAGAAAAGTAGGGAGATAAGAAAGAGAAAGGAGAGGAGGAATAAGTTGGTGTGAAGAAGGAAAGTAGGAGATAAAGAAAGCTAGAGAAAGGATGAGGGGGGAATAAGTGGGTGTGAAGAAGGAAAAGTAGGAGATAAGAAAGCTAGAGAAAGGATGATAAATAAGGGTGAAGAAGAAAAGAGACAAGAAAGCTAGAAAGGATGGGTGGGGAAACAAGTGGGGTGAAGAAGGAAAAGAGATAAGAAAGCTTGAGAAAATGATGAGGGGTGAACAAGGGTGAAGAAGGAAAAGTAGGAGAAGAAAGCTAGAGAAAGGATGAGGGGTGAATATGTGTGTGAAGAAGGAAAAGTAGGGAGACAAGAAGCTAGAAAGGGGATGAGGGTGAATAAGTAAGGTGTGAAGAAGGAAAAGTAGGAGATAAGAAAGCTAGAGAAATGATGAGGGTGTGAATAAGTGGGTGTGAAGAAGGAAAAGTAGGAGATAAGAAAGCTAGAGAAAGGTGTGGGTGGGGTGAAGAAGGGGTGTGAAGAAGGAAAAGGAGATAAGAAAGCTAGAGAAAGGATGAGGGGGAATAAGGGTGGGTGTGAAGGAGATAAGAAAGCTGAAGGAAGGAAGAAGTGGGTGTGAAGAAGGATAAGAAAGCTAGAGAAAGGATGAGGGGGGTGAATAAGTGGTGTGAAGAAGGAAAAGTAAGTGGAAGAAGGATAAGAAAGCTAGAGAAATGATGAGGGGGTGAATAAGTGGGTGAAGAAGGAAAGTAGGAGATAAGAAAGCAGAGAAGGGATGAGGGGTGAATAAGTGGGTGGGAAGAAGGATGAGGGGATAAGAAAGCTAGAGAAAGGATGAGGGGGAATAAGGGTGTGAAGAAGGAAAGTAGAGATAAGAAAGCTAGAGAAAGGATGATGAATAAGTGGGTGTGAAAAGAAGGAAAAGTAGGGAGATAAGAAAGCTAGAGAAAGGATGAGGGGTGAATAAGTGGGTGTGAAAAGAAAAAGTAGGAGATAGGAAAGCTAGAGAAAGGATGAGGGGGAATAAGTGGGGTGAAGAAGGAAAAGGAGATAAGAAAGCTAGAGAAAGGATGAGGGGGGAATAAGTGGGTGTGAAGAAGAAAAGTAGGAGATAAGAAAGCTAGAGAAATGATGAGGGGGGAACAAGTGGGTGTGAAGAAGGAAAGAGGGAGATAAGAAAGATAAGAAAGGATGAGAATAAGGGGTGAAAGAAGGAAAAGAAAGATGAAATAGAGAAAGGATATGAAGAAGGAAAAGAAAAGTAGGAGATAAGAAAGCTAGAGAAAAGGATGGGGGGGTGAATAAGGGGTGTAGAGAAAAGAGGGCTAGAAAGGAGAATAAGGGTGAAGAAGGAAATAGGGAGATAAGAAAGCTAGAAATGATGAGGGGGTGAATAAAGGGTGTGAAGAAGGAAAAGTAGGAGATAAGAAAGCTAGAGAAAGGATGAGGTGTGAATAAGTGGTGTGAAGAAGGAAAAGTAGAACATAAGAAAAGCTAGAGAAAGGATGAGGGGGGAATAAGGGGTGTGAAGAAGGAAAGTAGGAGATAAGAAAGCAAGAGAAAGGATGGGGGGGAACAAGGGGTGAAGAAGGAAAAGTAGGAGATAAGAAAGCTAGGAGAGAAAGGATGAGGGGGGGTGAACAAGGGGTGTGAAGAAGGAAAAAGGAGATAAGAAAGCTAGAGAAAGGATGAGGGGGTGAATAAGTGGGTGTGAAGAAAGGAAAAGTAGGAGAGAAGGAAAAGCAAGAGAGAGAAATGATGAGGGGGTGAATAAGTGGGTGTGAAGAAGGAAAAGTAGGAGATAAGAAAGCTAGAGAAAGGATGAGGGTGTGAAATAGAGAAAGGATGGGGGGGAATAATGGGTGTGAAGAAGGAAAAAGTAGGAGATAAGAAAGCTAGAGAAAGGATGGAGGGTGAACAAGTGGGTGTGAAGAAGGAAAAGTAGGAGATAAGAAAGCTAGAGAAAGGATGAGGGGGGAATAAGTGGGGTGGAAGAAGAAAGTAGGGAGATAAGAAAGCTAGAGAAAGGATGAGGGTGAATAAGGGTGTGAAGAAGGAAAGTAGGAGATAAGAAAGCTAGAGAAAGAATGAGGGGGGGTGAATAAGGGGTGTGAAGAAGGAAAGTAGGAGATAAGAAAGCTAGAGAAAGGATGAGGTGAATAAGTAAGGGTGGAAGAAGGAAAAGTAGAGATAAGAAAGCTAGAGAAAGGATGAGGGGGGAATAAGTGGGAAGAAGGAAAAGTAGGAGATAAGAAAGCAGAGAAATGATGAGGGGGGGTGAATAAGGGTGTGAAGAAGGAAAAGTAGGGAGATAAGAAAGCCAGAGAAAGGATGAGGGGGGGTGTGAAGGAAAAAAGTAGAGGGGTCTAGAAGGGAAGGGAGTGGGTGAAGAAGGAAAAGAGAAAAAGCTAGAGAAAGGATGAGGGGGGAATAAGTGGGTGTGAAGAAGGAAAGTAGGAGATAAGAAAGCTTAGAGAAAGGATGGTGGGGAAAACAAGTGGGTGTGAAGAAGGAAAAGTAGGGAGATAAGAAAGCTAGAGAAAGGATGAGGGGGAAGAAGGAAAGTAGGGTGTGAAGAAGGAAAAGTAGGAGATAAGAAAGCTAGAGAAAGGATGAGGGGGGGAGAAGTTGGTAGAGAAAGAAGGGGAAAGTAGGAGATAAGAAAGCTAGAGAAAGGATGGGGGGGGGAATAAGTGGGTGTGAAGAAGGAAAAGTAGGAGAGATAAGAAAGCTAGAGAAAGGATGAGGGGGGGGAATAAGTGGGTGTGGAAGAAGGAAAAGAGAGATAAGAAAGCTAGAGAAATGATGAGGGGGAATAAGGGTGTGAAGAAGGAAAAGAGGAGATAAGAAAGCTAGAGAAAGGATGAGGGGTGAATAAGTGAAGAAGGAAAAGTAGGAGATAAGAAAGCTAGAGAAAGGATGGGGTGAAGAATAAGTGGGTGTAAGAAGAAGGGAAAAGTAGGAGATAAGAAAGCTAGAGAAAGGATGAGGGGGTGAACAAGTGGGTGTGAAGAAGGAAAAGTAGGAGATAAAAAGCTAGAGAAAAGGATGAGGGGTGAATAATGATGAGGGGGTGTGAATAAGAAGAAGGAAAAAGGGGAGATAAGAAAGCTAGAGAAAGGATGAGGGGGGAATAAGTGGGGTGTGAAGAAGGAAAAGTAGGAGATAAGAAAGCTAGAGAATGGATGAATAAAAGGTGTGAAGAAGGAAAATAGGAGATAAGAAAGCTAGAGAAAGGATGAGGGGTGAATAAGGAAGAAGAAAAGGAGATAAGAAAGCTAGAGAAAGGATGAGGAGGGAATAAGTGGGTGTGAAGAAGGAAAGTAGGAGATAAGAAAGCTAGAGAAAGGATGAGGTGGGAATAAGTGGGTGAAGAAGGAAAGAGGAGATAAGAAAGCTAGAGAAAGATGAGGTGAACAAGGGTGAAGAAGGAAAGTAGGGAGATAAGAAAGCTAGAGAAAGGATGAGGTGTGAATAAGTGGGATGAAAGAAGGGAGATAAGAAAGCTAGAGAAAGGATGAGGGGGGAATAAGTGGGTGTGAAGAAGGAAAAGTAGGAGATAAGAAAGCTCGAGAAAGGATGAAGGGGTGAATAAGGGGGTGAAGAAGGAAAAGTAGGAGATAAGAAAGCTAGAGAAAGGATGAGGGGGGAATAAGGGGGGAAGGAATAAGAAATGGGTGAAGAAGGAAAAGTAGGAGATAAGAAAGCTAGAGAAAGGATGAGGGGTGAATAAGTGGGTGTGAAGAAGGAAAAGTAGGAGATAAGAAAGCTAGAGAAAGGATGAGGGGGGGAATAAAGGGGTGGAAGAAGGAAAAGAAGGAGATAAGAAAGCTAGAAAGGATGAGGGGGTGAATAAGTGGGTGTGAAGAAGGAAAAGTAGGAGATAAGAAAGCTAGAGAAAGGATGAGGGGGGTGAATAAATAAGGTGTGAAGAAGGAAAAGTAGAGATAAGAAAGCTAGAGAAAGGATGAGGTGGGGAATAAGTGGGTGTGAAGAAGGAAAAGTAGGAGATAAGAAAGCTAGAGAAAGGATGAGGGGTGAATAAGTGGGTGGGAAGAAGGAAAAGTAGGAGATAAGAAAGCTAGAGAAAGGATGAGGGGGTGAATAAGTGAAGAAGGAAAAGTAGGAGATGAAGAAGGAAAAGTGAAGAAGAAGGAGATAGGAGAAAGCTAGAGAAAGGATGGGTGGGGAACAAGTGGGTGTGAAGAAGGATAAAAGTAGAAGATAAGAAAGCTGAAGAGAAAGGATGGGGGGGGAAACAATGAAGAAGGAAAAGTAGGAGCTAGCTAGAGAAAGGATGGGGGGAATAAGGGTGTGAAGAAGGGAAAAGTAGGAGATAAGAAAGCTAGAGAAAGGATGATGGGGGGGAAATAAGTGGGTGTGAAGAAGGAAAAGTAGGAGATAAGAAAGCTAGAGAAAGGATGGGAGGGGGAATAAAGGGGTGTGAAGAAGGGAAAGTAGGAGATAAGAAAGCTAGAGAAAGGATGAGGGGGAATAAGGGTGTGAAGAAGGAAAAGTAGGAGATAAGAAAGCTAGAGAAAGGATGAGGGGGTGAATAAGTGGGTGTGAAGAAGAAAAGTAGGAGATAAGAAAGCTAGAGAAAGGATGGGTGGGGAACAAGTGGGTGTGAAGAAGGAAAAGTAGGAGATAAGAAAGCTAGAGAAAGGATGAGGGGGTGAATAAGTGGGTGTGAAGAAGGAAAAGTAGGAGATAAGAAAGCTAGAGAAAGGATGAGGGGGTGAATAAGGAGATAAGAAAGCTAGAGAAAGGATGGTGGGGAATAAGAAAAGCTAGAAAGAGAAAGGATGAGGGGGAATAAGTGGGGTGAAGAAGGAAAAGTAGGGAGATAGAAAGCTAGAGAAAGGATGAGGAGGGAACAATGGGTGTGAAAGAAGGAAAAGTAGGAGATAAGAAAGCTAGAGAAAGGATGAGGGGGGAATAAGGGTGAAGAAGGAAAGAAGGAAAAGAAAGGAGAAAAGAAAGAATAAGTGGGTGAGAAAGGATGAGGAGGAATAAGAAAGCTAGAGAAAGGATGGGTGTGAAGAAGAAAAGTAGGAGATAAGAAAGCTAGAGAAAGGATGAGGGGGGGAATAAGTGGGTGTGAAGAAGGAAAGTAGGAGATAAGAAAGCTAGAGAAAGGATGAGGGGAATAAGGGTGAAGAAGGAAAAGTAGGGAGATAAGAAAGCTAGAGAAAGGAAGGGGAAGTGGGTGTGGAAGAAAAAGTAGGAGATAAGAAAGCTAGAGAAAGGATGAGGAGGAATAAGTGGGTGTGAAGAGTGCAGGAGATAAAATTAGAGAAAGATAAGAAGTGGGCTAGAGATAAGAAAGCTAGAGAAAGGATGAGGTGTGAATAAAGGGTGTGAAGAAGGAAAAGTAGGAGATAAGAAAGCTAGAGAAAGGATGAGGGGTGAATAAGTGGGTGTGAAGAAGGAAAAGTAGGAGATAAGAAAGCTAGAGAAAGGATGGGGGGTGAATAAGTGGGAATGTGAAGAAGGAAAAGTAGGAGATAAGAAAGCTAGAGAAAGGATGAGGGGGTGAATAAGGGGTGTGAAGAAGGAAAGTAGGAGATAAGAAAGCTAGAGAAAGGATGAGGGGTGAATAAGTGGGTGTGAAGAAGAAAAAGTAGGAGATAAGAAAAGAGAAAGGATGAGGGGGGAATAAGGTGTGAAGAAGGAAAGTAGGAGATAAGAAAGCTAGAGAAAGGATGGTGGGGGAACAAGGGTGTGAAGAAAAAAAGGAGATAAGAAAGCTAGAGAAAGGATGGGGGGTGAATAAGTGGGTGTGAAGAAGGAAAGGAGATAAGAAAGCAGAGAGAAAGGATGAGGGGGAATAAGTGGGTGTGGAAGAAGGAAAAGTAGGAGATAAGAAAGCTAGAGAAAGAATGAGGGGATGAAGAAGGAAAGTAGGGGGAGATAAGAATAGAGAAAGGATGGGTGTGAATAAGAAGAAAAGTAGGAGATAAGAAAGCTAGAGAAAGGGATGGGGGGTGAATAAGGGGTGTGAAGAAGGAAAAGTAGGAGATAAGAAAGCTAGAGAAAGGATGAGGGGTGAATAAGTGGGTGTGAAGAAGGAAAAGTAGGAGATAAGAAAGCTAGAGAAAGGATGAGGTGGTGAATAAGTGGGTGATAAGAAAGAGAAAGGATGAAAGTGGTGAAGAAGGAAAAGAAAGAAAGAGAGAAAGGATGGGGGAATAAGTGAAGAAGGGTGTGAAGAAGGAAAAAGTAGGAGATAAGAAAGCTAGAGAAAGGATGAGGGGGGAATAAGTGGGTGTGAAGAAGGAAAAGTAGGGAGATAAGAAAGCTAGAGAAAAGGATGGGGGGGGAATAAGGGGGTGTGAAGAAGGAAAAGTAGGAGATAAGAAAGCTAGAGAAAGGATGAGGGGGGGAATAAGGGGGTGAAGAAGGAAAAGTAGGAGATAAAGAAAGCTAGAGAAAAAGGATGAGGGGGTGAAGAAGGAAAAGTGGGTGATAAGAAGAGAAAGAATGGGGGGAATAAGTAGGAGAAGAAAAGCTAGAGAAAGGATGAGGGGGAATAAGTGGGTGTGAAGAAGGAAAAGTAGGAGAGAGAAAGCTAGAGAAAGGATGAGGGGTGAATAAGTGGGTGTGAAGAAGGAAAAGTAGGACATAGGAAAGCTAGAGAAAGGATGAGGTGGGAATAAGTGGGTGTGAAGAAGGAAAGTAGAAGATAAGAAAGCTAGAGAAAGGATGAGGGGGGAATAAGTGGGTGTGAAGAAGGAAAAGTAGGAGATAAGAAAGCTAGAGAAAGGATGAGGGGTGAATAAGTGGGTGTGAAGAAGGAAAAGTAGGAGATAAGAAAGCTAGAGAAAGGATGAGGGGGGAATAAGTGGGTGTGAAGAAGGAAAAGTAGGAGATAAGAAAGATAGAGAAAGGATAGAGAAAGGATGAGAAGGGGGGAATAAGAAAGCTAGAGAAAGTGGGGTGAAGAAGGAAAAGTAGGAGATAAGAAAGCTAGAGAAAGGATGAGGGGTGAATAAGTGGGTGTGAAGAAGGAAAAGTAGGAGATAAGAAAGCTAGAGAAAGGATGAGGGGGTGAATAAGTGGGTGTGAAGAAGGAAAGTAGGAGATAAGAAAGCTAGAGAAAGGATGAGGGGGGAATAAGTGGGTGTGAAGAAGGAAAAGTAGGAGATAAGAAAGCTAGAGAAAGGATGAGGGGGTGAATAAGTGGGTGTGAAGAAGGAAAAGTAGGAGATAAGAAAGCTAGAGAAAGGATGAGGGGGTGAATAAGTGGGTGTGAAGAAGGAAAAGTAGGAGATAAGAAAGCTAGAGAAAGGATGAGGGGGGAATAAGTGGGTGTGAAGAAGGAAAGTAGGAGATAAGAAAGCTAGAGAAAGGATGGGTGGGGAACAAGTGGGTGTGAAGAAGGAAAAGTAGGAGATAAGAAAGCTAGAGAAAGGATGAGGGGGTGAATAAGGGGGTGAAGAAGGAGAAAGAAAGGAGATAAGAAAAGCTAGAGAAAGGATGAGGGGGAAATAAATGGGTGTGAAGAAGGAAAAGTAGGGAGATAAGAAAGCTAGAGAAAGGATGAGGGGGGAATAAGTGGTGAAGAAGAAGGAAAGAAGGGAGATAAGAAAGCTAGAGAAATGATGAGGGGGGTGAATAAGGGTGAAGAAGAAGGAAAAGTAGGAGATAAGAAAGCTAGAGAAAAGGATGAGGGGGTGAATAAGTGGTGTGAAGAAGGAAAAGTAGGAGATAAGAAAGCTAGAGAAAGGATGAGGGGGAATAAGTGGGGTGAAGAAGGAAAAGTAGGAGATAAGAAAGCTAGAGAAATGATGGTGGGGGAATAAGGGTGTGAAGAAGGAAAAGTAGGAGATAAGAAAGAAAGAAAGGATGAGGGTGAATAAGGGGGAAGAAGGAAGAAGGAAAAGCTAGAGAAAGATGAGGGGGTGAAGAAGGGTGTGAAGAAGGAAAGGAGGAGATAAGAAAGCTAGGAAAAGAATAAGTGGGGAACAAGGGTGAAGAAGGAAAAGTAGGAGATAAGAAAGCTAGAGAAAGGATGAGGGGGTGAATAAGTGGGTGTGAAGAAGGAAAAGTAGGAGATAAGAAAGCTAGAGAAAGGATGAGGGGGTGAATAAGTGGGTGTGAAGAAGAAAGCTAGAGAAAGGATAGGGGAAAGCTAGAGAAAGAGATGATGGGGGTGAATAAGTGGGTGAAGAAGGAAAAGTAGGAGATAAGAAAGCTAGAGAAAGGATGGGGGTGAATAAGGTGTGAAGAAGGAAAAGTAGGAGATAAGAAAGCTAGAGAAAGGATGAGGGGGGGAATAAGTGGGTGTGAAGAAGGAAAAAGTAGGAGATAAGAAAGCTAGAGAAAGGATGAGGCTGTGAATAAGTGGGTGTGAAGAAGGAAAGTAGGAGATAAGAAAGCTAGAGAAAGAAATGATGTGGGGGGGTGAATAAGGAGAGTGTGAAGAAAAAGGGTGAAGAAGGAAAAGAGGAGATAAGAAAGCTAGAGAAAGGATGAGGGGGGAATAAGTGGGTGAAGAAGGAAGAAGGAAAAGAAAGGAGATAAGAAAGCTAGAGAGAAAGGATGAGTGGGGTGAATAAGTGGGTGTGAAGAAGGAAAAGTAGGAGATAAGAAAGCTAGAGAAAGGATGGGGGGGAACAAGTGGGTGTGAAGAAGGAAGAGGAGAAAGAAAGGAGATAGGGTGAAAAGCTAGAGAAAGGATGAGGGGGAATAGAGTGGATGTGAAGAAGGTGAAAAGTGAAGGAGATAAGAAAGCTAGAGAAAGGATGAGGGGGGAACAAGGGGTGTGAAGAAGGAAAAGTAGGAGATAAGAAAGCTAGAGAAAGGATGAGGGTGAATAAGGGGTGTGAAGAAGGAAAAGTAGGAGATAAGAAAGCTAGAGAAAGGATGAGGGGGGAATAAGTGGGTGTGAAGAAGGAGAGGAGATAAGAAAGCTAGAGAAAGGATGAGGGGGAATAAGGTGTGAAGAAGAAAAGTAGGAGATAAGAAAGCTAGAGAAAGGATGAGGGGGTGAATAAGGGGGTGTGAAGAAGGAAAAGTAGGAGATAAGAAAGCTGAGAGAAAGGATGAGGGGTGAAAATGGAAGGGGAAAATAGGGTGAAGAAGGAAAGTAGGAGATGAGAGAAAGGATGAGGAGGAAAGTGGGGTGTGAATAGGAAAAAAGATAAGAAAAGCTAGAGAAAGGATGAGGGGGGAATAAGGGGTGTGAAGAAGGAAAGTAGGAGATAAGAAAGCTAGGAGAAAGGATGGGGGGGGAATAAGGGGGTGTGAAGAAAAGGGGAGATAAGAAAGAAGAGAAAGGATGAGGGGGAATAAGGGGTGAAGAAGGATAGGAGATAAGAAAGCTAGAGAAAGGATGAGGGGGGGAATAAGTGGGTGTGAAGAAGGAAAGTAGGAGATAAGAAAGCTAGAGAAAGGATGAGGGGGGGAATAAGTGGGTGTGAAGAAGGAAAAAGTAGGAGATAAGAAAGTAGAGAGAAAGGATGAGGGGTGAATAAGTGGGTGTGAAGAAGGAAAAGTAGGAGATAAGAAAGCTAGAGAAAGGGATGGAAGGAGGGTAGAGGGGGGAAGAAATAAGCTAGAGGGATGTGAAGTAGAAAGAAGGAAAAAAGGGAGATAAGAAAGCTAGAGAAAGGATGAGGGGGAATAAGTGGGTGAAGAAGGAAAAGTAGGAGATAAGAAAGCTAGAGAAAGGATGAGGGGTGAATAAGTGGGGTGAAGAAGGAAAAGTAGGAGATAAGAAAGCTAGAGAAAGGATGAGGGGGAATAAGGGAAGGTGAAGAAGGAAAGTAGAAAGATAAGAAAGGCTAGAGGAGAGAAAGGAAAGGATGGGGTGAATAAGTGGGTGTGAAGAAGGAAAAGTAGGAGATAAGAAAGCTAGAGAAAGGATGAGGGGGGAATAAGGGTGTGAAGAAGGAAAAGTAGGAGATAAGAAAGCTAGAGAAAGGATGAGGTGGGGAATAAGTGGGGTGAAGAAGGAAAAGTAGGAGATAAGAAAGCTAGAGAAAGGATGGGGGGTGAATAAGTGGGTGAAGAAGAAGGAAAGTAGGAGATAAGAAAGCTAGAGAAAGGATGAGGGGTGAATAAGTGGGGTGAAGAAGGAAAAGTAGGAGATAAGAAAGCTAGAGAAAGGATGAGGGGGAATAAGGGGTGAAGAAGGAAAGTAGGAGATAAGAAAGCTAGAGGAAGGATGGGTGGGGAACAAGTGGGTGTGAAGAAGGAAAGTAGGAGATAAGAAAGCTAGAGAAAGGATGAGGGGGTGAATAAGGGTGTGAAGAAGGAAAGTAGGAGATAAGAAAGCTAGAGAAAGGATGGGGGGGTGAATGAAGAAGGAAAAAGTAGGGGTAGAGAAAGGAAGAAGGAAAAGTAGGAGATAAGAAAGCTAGAGAAAGGATGAGGGGGGAATAAGTGGGTGAAGAAGAAGGATAAGAAAGCCTAGAGAAAGATGAGGGTGAATAAGGCTGAAGAGAAAGGATGAGGGGGAACAAGGGTGAATGTGAGAAGGAAAAGTAGGAGATAAGAAAGCTAGAGAAAGGATGAGGGGGGGAATAAGTGGGTGTGAAGAAGGAAAGTAGGGAGATAAGAAAGCTAGAGAAAGGATGGGGGGGGAACAAGTAGGGGTGAAGAAGGAAAAGTAAGGGGGGAGATAAGAAAGCTAGAGAAAGGATGAGGGTGAATAAGGGTGTGAAGAAGGAAAAGTAGGGAGATAAGAAAGCTAGAGAAAGGATGGGGGGGGGAATGAAGAAGGGTAGGAGATAAGAAGGAAAAGGATAGGGGGGAGAAGAAGAAAAGATAGAGAAAGGATGAGGGGGAATAAGTGGGGTGAAGAAGAAGGAAAAGGAGATAAGAAAGCTAGAGAAAGATGAGGGGGTGAATAAGTGGGTGTGAAGAAGGAAAAGTAGGAGATAAGAAAAGAGAAAGGATGAGGGGGAGAAGAAGGAAAAGCAGGAGATAGAAAGAAGGAATGAGGGGATAAGAATAAGGATGAGGGGGGGTGTGAAGAAGGAAAAGTAGGAGATAAGAAAGCTAGAGAAAGGATGAGGGGGAATAAGTGGGTGTGAAGAAGGAAAAGTAGGAGATAAGAAAGCTAGAGAAAGGATGAGGGGTGAATAAGGGTGTGAAGAAGGAAAAGTAGGAGATAAGAAAGCTAGAGAAAGGATGAGGGGGAATAAGTGGTGTGAAGAAGGAAAAAGTAGGAGATAAGAAAGCTAAGAAAAAGGGGGGAATAAGAGTGTGAAGAAGGAAAATAGGGAGATAAGAAAGCTAGGAAAGAATGAGGGGTGAATAAGGGGGTGAAGAAGGAAAAGTAGGAGATAAGAAAGCTAGAGAAAGGATGAGGGTGAATAAGGGTGTGAAGAAGGAAAAGTAGGAGATAAGAAAGCTAGAGAAAGGATGAGGGGGGTGAATAAGTGGGTGTGAAGAAGGAAAAGTAGGAGATAAGAAAGCTAGAGAAAGGATGAGGGGAATAAGGGTGTGAAGAAGGAAAAGTAGGAGATAAGAAAGCTAGAGAAAAGAATGAGGGGGTGAATAAGAAAGCTAGAGGGTGTGAAGAAGGAAAGTAGGAGATAAGAAAGCTAGAGAAAGGATGAGGGGGTGAATAAGTGGGTGTGAAGAAGGAAAAGTAGGAGATAAGAAAGAATAGAGAAAGGATGAGGGGGAAATAAGTGGGTGTGAAGAAGGAAAAGTAGGAGATAAGAAAGCTAGAGAAAGGATGAGGGGTGAATAAGGGTGTGAAGAAGGAAAAGTAGGAGATAAGAAAGCTAGAGAAAGGATGAGGGGGGAATAAGGGGTGAAGAAGGAAGATAAGAAAGCTAGAGAAAAAAGTAGGAGAGGAAAAGAGGAGATAAGAGAAAGGATGAGGGTGAATAAGGGTGTGAAGAAGGAAAAGTAGGAGATAAGAAAGCTAGAGAAAGGATGAGGGGGGGAATAAGTGGGTGTGAAGAAGGAAAGTAGGAGATAAGAAAGCTAGAGAAAGGATGAGGTTGTGAATAAGTGGGTGTGAAGAAGGAAAAGTAGGAGATAAGAAAGCTAGAGAAAGGATGGGGGGGTGAATAAGTGGGTGTGAAGAAGGAAAAGTAGGAGATAAGAAAGCTACAGAAAGGATGAGGGGGTGAATAAGTGGGTGTGAAGAAGGAAAAGTAGGAGATAAGAAAGCTAGAGGATGAGGGGGAAAATAAGTGGGTGTTAAGAAGGACATAGAGAAACATCTTTGCTTAATGAATATCATGAAAAATGAATGAGAGATGAAAAATATGGAAGGATAGAAAGGTGCCAAAAATTATATTATTCATTTTTTTATGTGAGGCGAGAGAATGAGAGTGTCTGTCACAGCAGAAACTATTTCTCTGATCATCATTCCTTTTTTGTATATGAATTAAACCATGTTTGTGTGGTATTTAAATAAAAAACATGAAGAAGCAACAAAGACTGGAAAAGTCTCAGGAGAGAATAAGAAGATACAAACAAATGTTGAGCAAAAGGACAGATGCAGGGGATAAGAGATAATCTTAGTTGTCCATATATTTAGAATAGTCCAGTTCTAAAATAATTTAAACAATTTTGGGACACTTCATAACGATATGAAACTTGTTTAGAGTCAATGACTGAAAAGGGTCAGAACCAATATATATATATATATATATATATATATATATATATATATATATATATATGGGGAGAGAGACAGAAACAGAGACAGAGAGAGAGAGAGAGTTTATACATAGATATAATTATATTATTTATAATTTGCTATATTTATGGAAGAATGTGTTCAATATTGAAAATAGTACATATAGACAGTGTGAACAAAGAAATCAACACTATATAGTGAATGTAAGTTTATTGGTCTGAAAAACAAAGCTCAACAGCTCATTACTATGTCACCATTGTTTATCTATCTATCTATCTATCTATGTAGAATTAATACAAATAAAATTTGTCACTTAGCTGATTGATGTTATATTCAACACCTAAACTCCTGAGATTTATAGACAAACTTTCCCATAATTGTCACTCCACTCTTCAGACTGTTTCAACAATTGATTGCTATTTTTCTCAACTTTTATTTATTTTTCTCCTACATTTGCCGTAATTAGTTTTATTCTATCTATCTATCTATCTATCTATCTATCTATCTATCTATCTATCTATCTATCTATCTATATGCATGACACTAAGTCATGCTGCTGGTTTGGAATATTATATATATATATATATATATATATATATACATATATAATGGAAGAATGTCAAAATGGAAAACTTAAATGTGATGCATTATTTCCTTCAAAAGGACTTCTTCAGATTAAATAATTTTTTTATTGATAGAATCAGATATATGTTAGGAAAAGAATAAAATATAGCCCATATTAGTTACAATTCATTATATTCTCCTATATATATATATATATATATATATATATATATATATATATACATAATTGGAACAAATCTTTGTATAGGAATGTTAATATATGGGAATACATGTGTGTGGATGTGTTGGTAACTACAACATATCTTATTTCTTATGAAAATGTGTGCATCTTTTCATGAGTACTCTATATTACACGACTTGTTTGTCTTCATTGCAGTAATGATAACATAAATGTGTTCAATAATACCATAGCTAGGACTCCATGCAAAAGTGAAATAAAATTATTCCAAGTGGAATATCATAATGACGCAATGAATAGTGCTCAATGCCTAACAGCCGAGCTTGAATATTAACCTAAAAATGGAGTTGGTTAAAGTCCACTGTGAGTAATGGTGGTAATAAAACAATGCTCAATGTAAAATAACAGAGTTAAAATTTATACTAATAATAAATATATATTTATTCTTCACTATTTGGTGCAACTCTGATTTTCATGTATGTAGCAATCATCAGGCACAAACTGAAAATTAACCATTGTAATATGTTAATATTTATAACCTACTGTTAAGATAGTAGAGCAGTCCATTTATTTATGTGGGAAAATATATATATATATATATATATATATATATATATATATGGGGAAATTGAAATTTTGACAAAAGTGGAAAATATAAGCCAGATGTGCTTCCCCTTTCAGGACTTTGTCAGATTTAATTTAATCTGATGAAGTCCTAAAGGAAGAAACACATCACAGGGAAACTTTTTCCATTTTGTCATACAATTTTCCCAATACTGTTCTTGATAGATAAAAATATATATCATTTAAGGAATAGAAATATTGTCTGATTGTTAGTGATTGAGCAATTTCAACCATACTTCATTTTCAATATCCAGGGTTTGTAGGAGCAGATCTTGGGAAATATTGCACTGTGATCCACAAGATGACAGGTTAACCTACGAGAGAGTGCTGAGGTTGTTTGACACATGAATTTAATGTCTGTGCACAATAGGAAATGTAATTCTGCAGTGGACAAGAGAATTAGTTGATGATATTGGTTCAGAGTAATGAGGATTTTTAAGGACAGTTATTGTTAGAAATAAAAATGTGTTTTTGAATTTTTGTCATATATTAAAAGAAAAGTTAATCTTTGTTTTTATTAATAGAATATGTAAAAATGAGAAAATGATGCATCAATACATTTTTTATATATATATATATATATATATATATATATATATATATATGTGGATGGCTATACATATATATATATATATATATATATATATATATATATATATATATATATGAATGATAAAATTATAGTTTTAAGGGTATTCTATATGGTTAAGAGTGCTTAATATTGAGAATAGAGTTTATGTAAATATAAAAGTGGGCACCAAGGTCAGCAACAAGTAGCGACAGTCTGTTTCATGCTTGAACACAATCTTCAGGCCATGTGTATCATCTTTTGTCATGACTATATATGCTGGTCAATGGTGCATTATAGGTAGAAGGTCTAGCCTTGTAAAACTTGGGATGACCCATGCCCTTTATGCCTCCATGAGAAATTGCACATAATTAAGCTTCTAAGTAATAATAATCTATTAAACAATAGACACGAGTTAACGGTTTTTTGTAGGCATCATCAGATTTTTGGTTTGAATTATTAGCTAAAAACTAGCATACAATATAATAACTTGTTTTATCCATAGCCCACTCATCAGATTCATGGTTTGAATAATTAACTAAAAACATGCATACAATATAACACCCTTCATAATCCATAGCCCAAATAAATAGTTTAAAAAACTTTAAATACCCTAAAAAAAGATAACCCTTTATGAAGTCATCAAAAAACAAACGTTATGACAGTTTTTTTTTTTTTTTATATGCACAAATCCCTTTCATAAAAAATAAAATAAAAAAATAAATAAATCTCCATAGACATGCAAACTAGACGAGGGTTAATACATCTTCCGTTTCAAATTTAGACACCCCACCTTTCACTGACTTGACATCTACGAAAGTAACTCTATACTGATACTTATTATTAACACCCAACACCCGCCTACCCAATTTAAACAATTCGCCCTAGCTTTGTTACCATGGAAATTTTGATTTCAATTTTAAAACATGTAAATTTCAGAAACACGTTATTCCAAAAAAAATTTCGCTTGAAGATGGAACAGAGCTTATTTTAACTCAATTTAATTTAAAATAATTATATTGAAGTTTTCGCTCTTTGTTTTGAAACATGGGACTTCTTATGCCATGATTTGGAATCATATTTTAAATAAATTAATTATATTTATGCTCTACTTTTTGTATCGAGCACTATTTTTAAAAATAATAACTAAAATACTAAGGGACTTTGGATTATTTACCTAACCAGTTCCTTCCTATTTTCTATATTTTCACACACACACACACACACACACACACACACACACACACACACACACACACACACACACACATATATATATATATATATATATATACTGAAGAAGAAAGATGTGTCTACAACCCAGACAGAAAGAGAATTTTTATTCCATGGAGAAAAAAAATAATAATTGACAAATATTTTTCTCTTAAAGTTATACACAAAATAATCCTTATTGACTTATGAAAGAAGAAAAAGTTTTAGATGAGAGAGAAATTTACATTTTTGCCTGCCCCCTTCCAGGAAATATGGAATCATTAGTTCTTTAAATAATAATAATAATAATAATAAATCTTATTATCATTATTATTGAACAAATGAACAGATATAAAGCTAATATAAAATAAAAATAAAAGTAAGTAAAAAATTAACAAATTAAAATATTTATAAACTATAAAAAATGAATAAAAATAATAAAGAGATGAAAATAAATAGAAAAATGAACATTAGAATTATCAAAAAAAAAAGTAAAAATATAAGTAAAAAATATTACAAATAAAACAATGAAAAAGAAAGAAAAAAAACGGAGTCCAACAAATTTGTTTTCATGATAATTTTACAAGAAAGTTTATTTGATTTTTTTCTTTATTCTTCTTTATCTTTTTTATATTTAAGGATTTTTATTTCCTGAAGGTGATAAATGCTGAATTATAAGGGACATTGAAGAGCTAAAAAGACATACAAAAGAAAATGGGAAAGGCATTTAAAAAAAAGAAAAAAAAAAAGAGTCCTTTTAGATCAGGGTGTAAAAATAATATGATCCCATGATTTGTATGAAAAGAAAAATATACAAAAGAATTTCAAATAAAAGAAGCTGAAATAAAAATACATTTTTGAAAATAGCAAAAGAAAATATTTCAAATAATTGAGCTCTTAAAAAAATTATTTTACCTCAGCATGGTGAAACCTTTCATTTGATGCCAAAAAATTAAGATCATATACTTATATATAGCTATATTATTATATATTAATATTTATGGGCAATTTATATATATATATATATATATATATATATATATATATATATATATATATATATATGAATTTTAGATCAAATATAGATTGGAATCTGAGAGGATAAGGAAATATTTCCTATTTGTTGCTTATTCTACATATATATATATATATATATATATATATATATATATTATTATTATTATTATTATCATTTTTCTTGATCGATGATATCTGCTCACAAAATATATCTTAACATAAACAATGACAACATATAATTAAATGAATTAAGTCTGACAATTATTTAATATATTTTCTGTTATTTTTATAGATACAATCTATTTAAGTAAATGCTCTGTTTTTAATTAAACCGTATTAATTACATTGAGCCACTGGAATGTTTGAGAAATTTTATAGAAAATATGCATTTGGTGACAGGAATCGAACTTGTATTCCTATACAGAAACTGTCATTTGATCTGATGTTCTCTACCATTTTAGCTACAAAGAAGTATCTGGTTAGCAAAGTTTAAATTACTCTTTATAAACACACAATCTTTGATGATATTTTTCAATCATATTTTCTCATGTAAACAGTAATTTGGATTTTGCTAACCAGACACTTATCTGTAGATCAAATGACAATTTCTGTATAGGAATACAAGGTCAATTTCCAGTTGAGAACACATATTTTCTACAAAATTTCTTGAACATTCAGGCTGGTAAATGTAATTAATATTGTTTAATTAAAAATAGAGCATTTACTCAAATAAATTGTATCATAATGTATAAACAGAAAA